GAAAAAACCCATACCACCCCATGCTGGTACAAGATCAGGATAATCTAGTCTTAAAGAGGTTAATCAGTTGAATATAAATTCCATACTCAACAAATCCTCCAGGACCTTGTTATCACTACTGATGTATAACAGGCTAGTGACACTGAAGAAGTAGCTAAGTTTTTGTGTACAAGTCCAAACCAGAACTACCCTGGAAGGAAATACTTGAGATATAAGTGCTAGTAGTAAAATAACAGATTGTAATGGAAAAAGAATACACAAGATCACGCACAAGTAGAGCCCTCAAGGGACTCTGAGTGTCCAACTAAGCACCTTTCAGTAAGACTTCTTCCCTCTCCCCCCTATATTGTTTTCTCCAAACATACATGTGTATTTTCAACAATCTTAAAATGTGTATGATGTGGGAATGAAGAAAAAAAAAACCCACTCCGTGCACTCTACACCTCAAATAAGTTCACTCACAGAACAGCCTCAGGCAGGTAAGCAGATACTACAGCCACAAGCACCTCCAATTCTAAGACAATGAGTTACACCCATACTTGTGACAAGAAGCCATGCCAAGAAGCTGCTGATATGAAAACCCATCAGACACCCAAAACTGAACAGGAACTCAGTAGGAGCCTGTAACAGACTGGCCATGGGATGCAAGAGCAGCAGTTTATAAGTTAACAGTTTTGGTAAATGTTTATTTTCTTGGTCTCCCCTTGGGCTTCCCAGCTAATGTCTATCTCCTCTCCCATGTCTCTAAACACAATCTTTCTTGTCTGCATGGCAAAATAGGGCTCTTTGCCTACTCCTGTTCTCCAGGGCTGCCAGCCCTCATGGAAAGTGTTGGCCAAGGACAGAAGAACTCTCAGCAGCAGCTGGATTTTAACTGCTGACAGGGGCCCGCAGAAACCAGCACTTAAGACCAGTTCAGCTCCAGGAAGGTGAACGAGGGTTACCCTCCACACTCACAGCTTCTAACTCAGCCTGGCATTTGCAACTGCACGTAAATGGATGGCCAAAGAAATCCCCCAACACAGACAGCAATGGATTGCCAAAAGCCAGCACTACCCTTAAGATTTATAAAACAGCGGGTGGAGGGTGCACAGAACAATGAGGAGCAGAAAGGGTTTTGTTCGACAATACCATGAATTGGGCTGAACTCTAGTGACAGTTAGGAGACTGCTGGGCTAAGAAACCACCTGCAACGTAACAGCCAGCGATACATACATCTTGAATCCTCCCTTCTGCTCAGCATTACTCTGAAACATTTTGATCAGATCTTTGCCTCAGCAACTCATTGTTGGTTCAATGTGGCTTTCCAAAATATCTTGGAATCTAAAGCATCTACAAAAGCAAAGTGTAAAGAAAGGGTCCCAGCTTAAACTTCAAACACAGAAAACACTGCACAAGGCCTGGTCTGTTTAGCCTACTATTTTGCTGGTAGCAGAAACAAAGGGTTTTCTTTAATCTGCCCACTCACTTTCAATAAATTAATGATGATGAGACTTCTCTAACAATTAATTTTGTTGCTCCTACTTGGCATATTGTTTCTAGATGCAGAATGTACATCTCCCTCTCCTTGCAGAGCCAAACATGCAGAGATTTGATTAAGTGACAGAACAGGAAACCAGATGAACTCAAACACTAACCGTGAATCGGAGTATCTGCAGCCTCTCAGACCACAAAATCCATCTGTTACCCTCCTATACCTTCAACAGTTAGAACCCCATCCAGGTCGTTTGGGTTTTGTTTGGGGTTTTTCTGTGCAACCATGCTAGTGCTGCCCAAGAGAGGAGAAAGTGATCTCCGGTGTTTATGACAGAGTCAGGCACTACTGCAGCACAGAATGCCAAGGAACTCGTGTGCGTTTAGCCCTTCAGTATCCTGCTCCATAAAGCTCTCAACTAGCTCACATCAGGCTTTCAGACAGCTTTGAGGGCTGATAACAGGTTGGTCCAATGGACAATGTTCAAAACACCGAGTGAGCTCTAAAGAAACACACAAACTTTAACACTTGAAAACGAAGAAACTGAGCGAAGAGCAACATTAAGTGTACACCATTAAACAGCAGGGTAAAGCTAAGGCACACTGCCACAAATATCACCCCTTCATCAAGGAAAGAAGCAAACACCTTTCCTCACAGTCAGACTGGTTACAATTTACTAAAGTCACAGTCCGAAGAAATTAAAAGACAAAAAGTCTATTTTATTCACTTGGCTGAGACACCTTTATGTACTCACTGTTTTTTTTTTTAAATGCACTAGGCAAGGGCTGCCTGAGGGTGTCCTGGCCCTGTCAGAACCCAGGAGGAAGCTTCAATTACAGCTGCCAGCCGAGGAGGTGTTAACAGCAGCAAGTCCTATCCAGAGGCACCCCAACAAGATTTCCAGTCCCCGTCTAGGCAAGGCCCAAGATAATGAGAGACTCAGGGTGACACATGAGACTGATTCAAAGTTGTCTGAGGCCAGAAGGGTACCTGTAATGGCAGTACACAAGCTTCAAAGCCATATTACTCTCACAAAACTCTGCATGTATGTTGAAATGGGGAGGTACATGCAGGAGAGATCATTACTTTATGCATCTGAACATTTCATGTCTAGCCTCTCTCACAGTACTTCTTATAACACAGCATGACCTGCCCCTAACACAAAGGCTGTTGAGGGCAAGATCTAGCTCTTCATGTTTTAAATCATTACAGAAGTGGCCAGACTTGCTCTCATCCTCTAACAACCAACATCCCTGACCAAACTGCCTGATGGATAGGGAAGGATTGACATATGGGAGAAAAAAGGTAAGTTGTTTCAATCTGAGTTTTGCTGTTTAAATACCTGGTTTTCATAACACTTAAGTTGCAGCTCAGATTTAAGATTCCTACAGAACTTCAAAGATGACTGGAGGACTAGCTCATTCAATCATAGGCACTCTCTGCAATTGTCCCTCTAGGGACACATGAACTAGAGAAACATTTCCATCTCACAATCATGCTGCTGCCTCACTTTTAGCACTGTACATTATCAGCCAAGTGAAGCAAGGCCAAAGTGTTCAACTTCATGGCATTTTTCTTTTTGAAACAGAAACTTTTGAAGCTGTCTGATCAATTCCAAGGACTTCACAGGAACATCACAGTCATCAGTGTGAAAAAAAGACTTTCATCCATTTGGGCAGCAGTTTGTTAAAAGAATGAAACAAGTGTAACTATGAAATACAGAAAGGATCACCCATGGAGACACAGTTAGTCATTATTCTGTCCCTCTCGTAACTTCCAGGCTTTAGTCCCACTGACAGGGTTCAACAGCAAAAACAAGCAAAAGTGGGACTTTGCCAAGCCCAGGACTGCAGCACAAAGGCTTGTTCCACACAGCAAGCTATGCTGCCATAAGGAAGACCCTGAATATGGCAGTACTGCAGTTCCATCCTGCACTTAGTGTAGCCCTTTGCCCTAGCGAAAGCTCACCACTATCGGAGGTTCTCAAACATATCCAGGCTGCAGCCCCCTCTTCAGTTGCAAACCTCTTCTAAATCCAGCTCAGAATCCCACACAGAAACAAACACTTGCACTTCTAATTTGAGAACTGCTAATCTAAATGGTGGATTTGTGTCATCAGGTATCAAGCAACAATATTTTGGTTTGTCTTCAACAGCACCCAGGTGGCATCAAGAGGAGCACATGACAAAGATACAACTGCTCAAAAGATGCAGAGAAACGAGTCTGCACTACTCAGCAGCAAAATGGACTCCAATGCATTCACCTGAGATGCTGGCGCAAGCACTGGCACGGAGACCACATCTCTGCCCAACCAACACCGGCTCAGCACATGCTTCTTTGCTTAACCCTTGTTTCCTTTACTAAACGCTGACTTAGAGGACAGAGAGATCTACTGTTCAGAACAACCCTCACATCTGGGAAGTCTCCATTCTGCTCCACCACAGGCTTCTGATACAACCTTAAGGTTGTCACCCCACCTCAGTTTCCCACCTCTTTCCCAAGACGATGTGCAGAGGGGAGGGGAAGGGGGCAGCGTTTCCCTTCTTCACAGATACCCGAAGACACATACATTGAAAACACCACAAACGTAGCCCACGAGGCCTGTATAAACACACTGACAAATAATTACACTTTATTTACTCAGACCCACCACCTCTTCAAAGAGTTTTTGCTGGATCTGTCTAAGGATCCATTCACCTCTTTGTACAGGCACTAACGACCACTACTCGCCCAACTTGCATTAAAAATTTTGACAGAAATAAATGAAGCAAAGCACGGCACATGCACAAAAGGGCCAAACGCAAGAGCCGAATCCACTCAAATCGCAAGATGGTTTTCAAAATACAGCAGCCTCAAGACGTTAGCACAATCCTGCACCGCTGAGCGGACGCAACACGGCGGCACTCCACCTCCCTCCACCAAGCAAGCGCTGCTACCAGCGGAGACCCTCGCAGGAGGCCCCTGCCCTGCCACGGCTCCAGCCCCGCCGCCGCTCC